GCCCTTTCACACGCCCTAGCAATTGCATAGGGCACGAACTGTATACGCATCGTAAAAGCAGAGGTAGAACCGTGAGTACCTTTGCCTGATCTCAAAGATCGGACTCTCCGCGGAATTATTAAGAGTTTCTCCTTTTCTGTTGAGGCGACTGAATAGAACTGTTCGAAAAATTCTGTAAAAAAGACCATCAAGGGGATTCAGAGGCTATTCTTTCGGTCAACAACGCGTTTTGATGCTTACTATGAGAGGCGTTTGTGTGGCTTCCCCCTTTCGAATCTTAAATCACCAAACCTTTTTTTGCTTTGATTTGAAATACTGCCAAAAGCGTCGCCAGTACTTCTGCATACCATTACTGCATCAAACGTGGACCGCACTTTCTTTTCACACTTTTCACACTTAAACAGCATTCTTGTTTTCTTAGAAGGCCTCTTAACAAAACAGGCTATTCAGGCACCACTTGGCACCATACCACCTACAACAATATTCTTCACTTTCCTAGTTCTCTGTACTAATTCGGACATGACGTAGCATGCTATGCTTGTAGGAAATTCAAGCTTCCCCGCAAAGGTAATGGGTTGGCCCATAAGTAATGGCGTTTTTTTCTCACTCAAAATATCGCACTGAAGATGAAATGTTTTGCCATTGAGTTTCATAAAGTTCTGCAGAGAATCCCTTGCTCTATAAGATAGAATTCTCAGTTTTTCTGAAGGTTCAGTTTGCACTAATATTAGCGCTCACTGGATTGTCAGGGCGACGAAAATGAGCATTTTCGACAGCCTCTCTTTGTTACCTCTAATTAATAGAACAGCCTAAAACAGCGGGCTCAATTGTAAGTATATGCGTCAGAGCGCTCGTGTGTCTCTAAAAGGCTTACAACGGGTTCAACAAAACCAAGGATTCAAGGATTTAAATTTCGATCTCACAGACAAGCATCGAACCTAATGCCCTATTGAGAACAACTCAGAGCTTACTAAATCACCTTATTCACGGAGATTCATACTGAGGAAGGGGAATAATTAGAGGTCGTGAAAAAAAAATTAAAAAAACGCGTATGCGACCAAAAAGGATAGAAAACGAGCAATACGGATGTGGTATTAATATACATAATGTCATTGCTCGCTTCAACAACTGGTGCAAGAAAACTTTGGTACCGCGGAAAACGCAGCCGCATTGAATCGCCCCGAGAGTCCGTAATGATGAGGACTGTAAACAACTCCGCTTTAGAAATTCGTGGAAACTGTTGGAGAAATATGATCGGGAGCGTTCGTTGGCATATCGCTCTTAAGCGATGAACGAGACCTCACAATGGTAATAAGACCTTCCGAAAAACTGAGGAGCAATTGGGAGGCCTCACCCCACCCACCGTGTCCTTCTGATATAGGCCCCTACTATTACTACCTGTCCCGCTCCCTTGAGGCTCTCTTAGCTGAGAAAAGTCAGCAAATTTTTTGGCTCAGTAGAAGTTTGCTACTTTTCCACGCTACCTCTTCCGACTCTGTGGAAAAGCGATTGCTGACTGCTGTCATTAGATGAGCACGGTATGGCAATATGGCGAGTCTATTGCTGATCAAGTGCCTATCGCACTGTGCGTTAGAACATAGAAAAGGGGGATAGCCAAAAAATTACCACAGTGACAATCTTCCTTTCCAGCCTGATAGAAACTTTACAAGTATACCCAGATTCAGGTGTGGACAGCGACAAACTTGCTTCTTGTTTTCGCTATTCGCTTAGTTCGCAGCTGAATAAGTCTTTCGTTCGAAGCACGACTGATAACCTGAACTGACATAATGATAAGAATATATATTTCAAATGGGGCCCGTTAAAGAACATGACAGCAATAGTGCGAATCAGTGTTGAAGGTTATAGTTTTGCCTCAGAATTACTTGAAAACAGCTGATCTGTTGAATTAATTGAAAACAGAAGCATCTGCTTGAAGGGTCTCGAGGATGTGAGGAGAAAAGTTTCAGTTTAGCTTTCTCTTACACTTTTTTGCTTCTCTTTGTCATTGCTTGCCACTTTGATCTTCCCTGAACTATCAGCCGCTCATAGCCTTGCAAAATCGTAATTCTTGTATTTAGCTCTCTTCAATGACGATGCGCTAATACAACGACTGCATGATGAGAAGTTTGATGTTGGCATCACAGAGACCATCATGATCTGCGGGCTAGGTACATCTTGAAGAGAGTGTAAATAAGTGCTAATCTTTCACAAACTTTTATTTTCAGGAATCTTCGAGCTTTTGAAGATCAATGCTTCAATCGCTGTCAGGTCTATAGCATATGCCGAAAGTCTTTCCAAAAGCATCGGTGAACCGGTTACTCCTAGCTATGTTCCTGGAAAGTCTTAGTTCCTCATCATTGTCTCAAAAGTAATGGTGTCAACAACTTGGACACATCCTGTAAGAGCTGGAAAGAAAAGTCAAGCGCAATTGGCCTTCTTCCGAAAAACACATTTTGCGAAAGCTAGTCGTAGACATTATGGTCCAAATATGAAATTGTGGGTGCTACCTAACCCTTCCTGAAGCAAGCAAAAGAAACGACTGGATATGCCTTGATTAGGACCCTCCTCTTGCGATCCATTTTCAGCGTTAGTGAACACTAGAATACCACTGATAGTACAGAGGAAGGCAAAGGGCAAACAATGGGTGAATAGAAAGACGGGAGGAAGGACAGACACGGCCAGTATGAACGCAACGACCATCACTGTTTGGGGCCGTTCTCCAGTGGGTAGCAAACTGCAGGTGACGGCCTCACAAAAGTGATACACTCCATATCATTGCGGATTGAGCTATTTGTGCAAAAAGTTTCCACCTAACAGATGAAAGGAGAACAGTGTGATTTGCTTTAGAGACACATGGTACGCTCAAACACATTGAGGGTGTATGACTATCAGCCCCCCAGCTGGGGGGTCGATGTGTCGTGGTTCCCGCCTCCCACAATCCACAGGCCCAGGAATGGAAGCATAGACGGACGTTTGGAAAACGCCTAAATTCCTCCATTGCTCCGCCTTACACCTTTTTTGCGCGCAGTGTTCCGCCCTCTCATTAACACCGTCGTTACGCGCGCGTTGATCTGCGTTGGGATCCTTTGATTTTGCCAAGTCCGTTAATTGGCGCTAAGTAAAACGCAATTTCCTGATGCGGATACTTGGACGGGCTGCTACAAAACTAAGAAAGAAGAGAGGATGCGGAGGGCCAGATCAAAAGCAACTCAGGCTGCATGCTGAGTTATCCATCAGGACGGCCCGCCGCATTCACAAGAAACTGATGATAAAACAGCCAAGTCGTCCCACTGCTTTGTTCTAAAGTATTCTTACCGCTTTGGCCTCCGGATCGGGCGGCATTGTAGGAAATTTACAGACGATTTTAAATAATTTGCCTTTCCTTGATTTTTTCATTCTTCTTTTATTTGCATTTACATCGTTGTGCTTCTTTCTAGCCTATGTCATCTTCATCTCCTTGGTATATGGTTTTTGAAGCATGAGCGTCACCTAAAAGTTTACTCGCATCAGGAAATTGCGTTCTGCTTATATCAAACTAACGAATGTCGTTTTTATTTTCATGTTTTGTTGCGACATGCGCGGCTCCGAGGGGATGGTTGCCCAGACAAGTGGCACAGTTGCTTTTGAGTTCTGACCCTCGTCATCATCTTCTGTTCTTATTTTGCAGCACCTCCAATGTTATCCGCATCAGGAAATTGCGTTTTACTTGTATTTGAAAGCGCAATTAAAGGACTTGGCACGCAAGTGCAAGGGTAGCCGCACGGGCGACACGCCGCTATCTACGACTTGCTGTATCGAGGACGGGGGATTCTGTCACTGAGTCGCCAAAAAAGGGTGTAGGCGGAGCATTAGGATTAGGTGATCACGGTCCTGTATCTCCATGTCCTGGGCATGGTTTGGCGGTCGGGCGGACCAGGAACATCGACGGCTGGGGGGGCTGAGTAGTTCTTCAGTACAACCTCAATGTAGTGTGTGAGGTACTCGTTTTAAAGACAGTATCCGCGCTCGAGAGGCCTTCAAAATGACTTCGCGCCTTCTGGAACCCTCTGCGCCTTGATGAAGATGATCCCGCTTTTATCCATCAATGGCGCGCGATGAGGAAGTTATCGCAATTTCGACAAGGCTCGCTAGGCTCACGGAGACGGTAGGTGGACGAGGCGTCTGGTCCCGAACTGCATCCGTCCCTTTAGCCATGCGCGTCCTTTCAAGCCGCCGGTCCCACTGGCCATTTTGCCAATTGGCTCATAGCTCAGGACTAAAGGTTACTTATCGGTCAGGCTGTGTAACTATGTTGAAAGTGCAGAACCATTAGAGTTTTTTTTGCTTATGGAATGTAGTGCTTGCTTTTCCAATGGTAGGGAGATTTGTTGTCAAGTGGGGTTTGTTGTCATTTTCTTTCTTTTTCTTTTTTTCTTGTCAATTTCTCAAGAAAACTCCAGCAACCTTCCCAATTTTCTCTGTAAGCAACTCTAATCATCCCATCGTTGGAAATTGGAAGTTACGGTAACGAAGCGGCGCTGTTGCGTACGCTGTTGTCGCGACGCTGTAGCGGACGCTGTAGCCCGCGTAGCGCCTACAAGTAATGAACGCTGCAGTTACGCTTCGGAAAGTATCCTATTTCGAAGTTGGACGCCAATTGCGGCTTGCCGCATTCGGAATTCTGGCAGCCACGCCTCGGCACACTCGGTCCAGGCCCACCCACTGCTAAGCTATGGTTTGGGACTCAAGAGTGTCCGAAGATTTTTCTGCTTCTTTTCTACTTGAAGCTAACTAGGGATAATGGAGTGGCATGGACAGAGCTTACAATTGCCCGCTAATACTTGATCGCGGTATACAATGTCTTTAATCCTGGGGAATTGGGAAGAAACTGGTTACCTTGATTGTGATTCTTTCAGGAATTTCTTTTTTTTTACAAGAGCGAAGATCAAGTGTTTTCATTATTTGCTCTTCATTTATACTACGTTGCATTATTGGAATAATCGCGTTCTCCTTCAGGTGGTATGGCTACAAATGGTGATCGTATGAACATTTTTCAACGATTCAAGAATATGATAGGTGCGGTGCTCGGAGAAATATTTTACAACAATATCCTAGAATCAGAAATTGAAGTGAGCGTTCCGAGCAAATGCGTGGCACAGTTCAAAGGCAGCCAGGGTACGCTGTGTCGTGGTTAATGGTAGAAGCCCTTGAGTGGTAATGCTGGCGGACATCGCTCTCCTCCGAACTAGTCGGTAATAAGCACAGAGTTAAAAGAAATTTCTTCTCACTGTTATCCAAATCCTCTGTTAAAATCACCATCTGAACGAATCTGGAGAACTGCTGAATGAAACATTTACGGATTGTAGGAAACATAAATGAGTCAATAATTTCCGCTTTCTCTATTCAGGAACTCTTGGCTGGAGTGTCCTACACTTTCACAAACTCGAATCCCTACCTCGACTTTCCCGTCGCTGTTCACAAAACCATACCAATAGGAAGGTATCGCAATAGACATCGATCCCGAGAAGAATATTTTATCAAAGGTATCTTTATTATCTCGAGGTCCCTTGCAGGTTTACCATATAGAGGACGATGTTATTACAATATTCATCCTACAGCAGCACTCTGCTCTGTAGCCTCCTTCCAAGAGGCTGAAGCAATACAGTTGGCATCTGAGCGCAATCTTACAATAGAACGGTGAATCAACAAAGTTGACTGCATAAAGCTTTCGGGCTGTGATGTCGAAATGCTGACCTATTCTTGCAGGATGTAACAGGTATACTCAACTTGAGAGAAAGGTCCGCTACTGGTGTGTTTGGTTCAATGGCGCATAATCCGTACTCATGCCAGACCAGTATAAAGTTATGTCATTTCTTTTCCATTCATTGACAATATTCAGAACAGAAAATTACCCGTCTGCTAACATGTAGCAAAGGAAAACTTATCGGAATACAGAGAAAAATTGTTGGAATGCTCATAGTCGAGGTGAGGTATTTCTAGCAATGCAGCACAGGGTCGGTGAAGAGAGAGAGGAGCAGTCAAGGCCAATGTCTAACGCCACGTAAAGATAGTGGGTTTTTTTGCTCACATGCTAATGGTAGAAATGGTGAATAACATAAAGAAAACGCAGAAAAAACCCCATTTGAAGTGCCCAATGTAGAACTCCATGCTGGGTCTGGTTTGTATATGGAAAGGTTTCACTTTTTGATGCCAGCACTTTTTCCTACCATGTCACTGTCATCATGCGGAATGCAGAGAGTTAGTAGCGCGACAACCGCACCACCCGGCCTTGAAAGACACGGTCAGAATAAATTGAGGCTAAAATCTCTCAAATGTGTACGATGAATATGCAGGCATCCAAAGAGGCTGTACTGTAAGCAAAAGTCGAAAACTAGCAAGTCGAGCGCAGAACGCAACGGGTTTCTACCCAGTGGCGTTCAATATTCCCATGCCGGTCTTCGGTGCCCGTGTCGTAGTGAAAATGCCATTACACTCCTTCGCCCGTCGTTTTCTGACCTCTCTCGTCTCCTGTTAGTGTATCGTCTCCTTTTGCGAATCACAACTGATCTTGACCATCACATGCTCCTCCAGTGATCACAGTCAGTTGCACAGTGGGTCTTATTGCAGGCGGTTTTCCGAGTTTTCTTCTCCTTCAGTCAACGAGCATACGGCAGTTCTATTTTTGAATTGTATTACATATGAAGTGCGGTCGCGAGAATCGCCTTCACAAGCGAAAGTTGGGGCGTTGTCGTGAACAAACAGCGGAGCCCGGGTTTTGCGAGTGGGTAGCGCTTTCTCACGTATTTTCAAGTTGCGGATGTAGTACAGCCTCCACGCTTGCGGACAGGACAGTCATGAACGAAGGAGGCGTCTGAACACCAGATGAACGTGGAGCGTGCCCTCAAAGGCCCGCTGTCACATGCGGTGATCTGGATTGGATCTCGCTTAACAGTGCTAGGCGTGGAGGGGGGGGGGAAGGAAGAGTGACCCCTGGCGTGGAGATGAGCTAGGCAGGTCACCTTATGGTCCGGGTACGTATTCGAATTCTAATAGCAGTCTGAGTGGATTCGAATGAATTTCGCATTTTAAAAACGATTGCCCAATATAGGACACTCTCCGCATTCCTTTTCCGCTGTATGCCCTCCCTTTTATTTGTCTGATCTGTCATGGTAAATTTTGCTGTTTCTCGCGATCGCCGCAGTGCAATCACGATAATCGCACCAAACTACAATTTTGACAGAAAATATTGCGGCGCTCCACGCGCAGAAAAATTGAAGGGAGTCGCTCTACAATGGTCTGAAACCGTTTAGGAAAACCCTCCTCGAGGTTTTTCAAAGCATGCCGGATACGACTTTTATTTGGAAGTACGAAGAAGAAGATTCAAAATTGGTAGCTCACCTCAAAAACGTCCACCTCAGCTCGTGGGTACCTCAAAAAGCTTTACTTGGCAAGTATTTAAAGTTACCAATAAACAGGCATACAGGAGAAATAACTCTTTCAGCCGATCCTCGCCTTAGTGTTTTCGTAACTCATGGCGGACTAGGCAGCACGACGGAACTTGCTCACATGGGAAAACCAGCCTTGCTAGTGAGTTTCTTGACGAAATTCCATGCAGGTTCCTACCTATGCACATACGACCCCACGTCTTCCATACAACTACCCCTTCTCTAATGCTTTAAGATCCCTCTCTTTTCTGATCAAACCCGGAATGCACATATGTTAGTAAGGCATGGAGGAGGTATTGTTTTGAACAAGAATGATCTGGAGAATGCAGGAAAAGTAACAGCTTCTCTGAAAAGTATCCTCAGTGACGCCAGGTATGCTCTCACTGGAAACGAAAAGATTGGTACTATCAACTTAAATCTAGGAATTTCAGCTACGCACAAAATGCCAAACGATTGGCTGCAATGCTCCTAAACCAACCAATAAGCGCAAAACAACTTTTCATCCGACACAGTGAATTTGCTGGCAGGTGAGAAAAACTAAATAGGCACATGTAGGCAAGTTCAGTAGTGCAATAATTTGCTTCTAGTCCCAAAATGGTTTTTCTTGTTGGGCGTGAATAGATCACATTCCCCAGGTCGGTCGGCTACCGTATTCTTTGCCCACATTAGAAGTTTCCTTCTGTGCCTATAAATAAAGGAAGTGAACGGTTGTTAGGTGCGAGCTCTGAACCTCCCTGCTCTACAAATTAAATGGCGCTCTCAACTTAATATTCATTACACCATGACTCATGCTTTTTACAATGGAGCAACTCCGTCAAGAGCCGCTGCAGTGGCCTGGTTCGATTGCTTGAGGGACTCAGAATGGATTTAAACGGTGCATGCCATGCAGTCAATTCTAGGCTTTGAGCGTCACATATCCATAACCCATCCTGTTCGCGAGGAGATCCACTTGAGTCCGGTACACTTCAGCTATCGCTATTTCTTGGTTCAGCGATTTCAGATTTGGACGCCTACCAAATCTCGATCCTTACGGACGACAGCTGTCTTTCTTCCAGTATTACCTCATTGATCTATTGCTTGTTGTTGTTACAGTCTTCACTGTTAGCATTTTTGTTGTTGTTCATGCTTGCAGGATATTCTTGCTCTGTCAGGTCTAAGACCAAGGAAGAGTAAGTTCCATTGGTGCCCCACATTTAGGTACATGTTCTCTGTACATATGTTTAATGAATCACTTATGTTTTGTACACTTTTGTCTTGATGTCTAGAATAGGCTCTCACAATGCGGCACTCACTTCACTTGTACTGAGAAGCGCCTGTGTGTTTAAGGGCGTGTTCACTATACACCGAGTCGTGTTTAATAAAAGGGAAGAGGAGTAGATGGCTTGAAGGCTAGAGAGGACATCTCGTACTTGGACCGCAACGTTTTAACATAGCAGCAAATTATGTACAGCGCACTCGCACATCGAAAATGCAGAGCGTTGAGCTACTTTTTGTCTTGGTACTTTCTGCTAGTTGTAACTTATGCTTCCAAAATGGCTTCCTTCCAGATCCATAAATTCCTAGTTAGCTGCTTTCGAGAAGCCAGCTCGGAATTCAAAAAGCAGAAAGGGGCCTACACTCATTTCCACATGTGGACATCATTTCGCGTCTTTACCATACTCCTGATAGTCACCACAAGTCATACTTGTAGATGCTCTGAAGCGGATTCACTTACAATCGATACACCCTAAGTGTTCTATTCGTATACTGTT